GTGTGAAGAGGACACTCAAAGTACCTTTCTGTGACGCAATCAGCCGTCTGGAATATTCCACTGTGACATGTAGTGCGATGTGTGTTTGTCGAATTCTTTATTGTAGAATGGAAAGTAGGAATGTACTTGATGTTAATATTTACATTATTTACATATATTTTCTTTTGTTTATCTTTTTTTATGTTGCCCTTAATGATTACGGAATCATTATATTTTCTTGGTTTTACATGTGACCCTGTTGAGCAACGTAGGTGTGCATATCAAAATATTGCAGTAGTCTCTGTCTCTCTTTCTCTTTCTCTTTCTCCTTCTCTCTCTCTCTCTCTCTCTCTCTCTCTCTCTCTCTCTCCTCTCTCTCTCTCTCTCTCTCTCTCCCTCCCTCCCTCCCTCCCTCCCTCCTTCCCTCCTTCCCTCCCTCCCTCCCTCCCTCCCTCCCTCCCTCCCTCCCTCCCTCCCTCCCTCCCTCCCTCCCTCCTTCCCTCCCTCCAGCCCTCCCTCCCTCCCTCCCTCCCTTCCTTCCTCTCTCCTTCCCTCCCACCCTCCTACCCCCCTTTGTTACATTATTTCCTGACTGCCTCTTTCTAACAGTAAACTCACAGAAGCGAAATCAAGAGTGCGTACATACTGTTCACGTTTATTCAATATCACGTTATTATATTTATTTTGTGATTTTATAAGAAATGCAACTGCCACACATACTCCATAAATTTATGATGAGAGAGCGATATGGGTTGTAGAAAAAAAATCAAAATTGGTGCATAGTGATGAATTAATTATTCATTCGTATGCTTTATTCACTTCTCTTCTCTTCCATTCTCTCTTTGTCTTTCCAGCATATTCTACTATTCTCTTTTTCGAGTCTTTTCTCTGTTTATTTTTTTCATCATGACAGTTATTTTTCAGGTTTCAAATTTGCTTTTATGATTTATTTATTTCATTTCAAATTTTCTTATTCTGTCCTCATCCATATTATTATTGGTGTATGTTCGCTATTATTACTATCCTTATTATTATTGTATTTGCTATTATTATTATTATTATTATTATTATTATTATTATTATTATTATTATTATTATTATTATTATTATAAGTATCATTATTATCATTATGATGATGATAGTGATGACAGTGATGAAGATGATAATAATATTAATAATAATGATAATAATGATAATGATAATGATAATATTAATGATTATGATAATAATATTGTTAATGATACTAATAATGATAATAATAATAACAATAATAATGATAATAGTAATGATAATAATCATATTATTAATAATTATAATAATAATAATAATAATGACAATAAAAATATTAATAATGATAATGATAATGATAATGATAATAATAGTAGAGATTGTAATGATAATAGTAATAATAATAATAATAATAATAATAATAATAATAACAACAACACCAACAATAACAATAATAATAATAATAATAATAATAATAACAATAATAATAATAATAATAATAATAATAATAATAATGATAATAATAATAATAATGATAATAATAATAATGATAATAATAACAATAATGATAATAATAATAATAATAATAACAACAGTAATAATAATGATAATGATAATAATAACGATAATAATAATAACAGTATTCATAATGATGATGATAACAACAATAATAATAATAATAATAATAACAACAGTAATAATAATGATAATGATAATAATAACGATAGTAATAATGATAGTATTCATAATGATGATAACAATAGTGCTAATAATAATCATAATAGTAATGATGGAAAAACATGATAATGATATGATGATTATCATGATTATCATAGCTATTATTATCATTTCTGTTATTATTATATCATTATTTTTATTACTACTATTACTTCTATTACTTAATATTCATCATCATCACCCTTCACTCTATTACTTTCCTTTAACTAGAGAAAGAAAGAAAAAAAGACAGCGGGCCGGACACAGAGACAAAATAGCTCCCGCAGTCCACAGCAAACTTTCGAAATCCCTTTGCATGTGAAATCCTCCCCATATTGACGAGGAATTGATTGCATAAATATATTTTTTTTCTCTCTCGTTCGCGTGTTCATTGCCTTTCGTATCGCTTGACTTATTCAGCACTCGGAGTGTTCGCGCGCCGGCATTTTCCGCTCTCTCTCTCTCTCTGTCTCTCTATTTGTCTCTGTCTCTCTCTCTTTCTCTCTATTTGTCTCTGTATGTCTGTCTGTCTGTCTCTCTCTCTGTCTGTCTCTGTCTCTGTCTTTCTCTTTTTATCTCTGTCTCTGTCTTTCTGCCTCTCTCTTTTATCTATCTGTCTTTGTCTTTCTGCCTCTCTCTCTTTCTCTTTATCTCTCTCTCTCTTTCGCCCCCTCTCTCTTTTTCTGTCTTATCTCTCTCTCTCTCTCTTATTCTCTTTTTTATTCTCCCTCTTTCTCTCTTTCTCTTTCTTATTCTCTCTCTCTCTCTCTCTCTCTCTCTCTCTCTCTCTCTCTCTCTCTCTCTCTCTCTCTCTCTCTCTCTCTCTCTCTCTATCTATCTGTTCCTGTTCTCTAGTCAATGCTTTCGACGAGCGAGCGATAACATCGATACCAGATTTTGCGTGATAAATTGGACACTTTCTGCATAATTCCTTCCATTCATCCATTTATCTATTCGTTCGTCCATTTATGTATTCACTACTTCAATCCATATACTCCTTTCTTTCGTTCTTTCCCTCCCTTTATTCACTCAGTGATCCATCCACCTATTCGTCCATTCTCGCACCTCCCCAGCCATCTATCCACCTATCCACATACTCCCCACCTTACCACCTGTTCATCCACTAATCATAAAGCAATTTTCAGCATATTCGTGTTGCAATGTGCAATCTAGGTACTGAACTCTGCAACACATGTAATTGCCTAGGAAAAGGGATTGTTATATTTCTGTGACATGCAGTGCATAATACATATTGCCCGAATGTATGTGGAGAAAACACTATATTGCATAATCATGCTAAGAAGAGTCATTATACATGCAACGTGTCTTAACTTTTCACTCTATTTAACCATTCATTTTGTCTTTATTTTTTCGTAGTAATATGGTTGGGAATAAAAGAAGGAAGTGAATGAAACAAAGGAAAGGAAAGGAGGAAGTAACGAGGCACACAAATGAATTATAAATGCCATGATAAGCATAACCTTTCGATTCCAGCCGGTCGTCCAGCTGCTCCGCTAAGTGAATCCGACCCTTTCGCAAATGTTCGAACAGCGTATAAGTGGAATCGAAAACTAATCAGTTTCGTCACTTATTTGCTTCATAGATTCTTATTATTAGATTGTCTTCATGATGTTTTATGAGTAAAATATATATAGGATAGTGAAAAAGAAGGGAAGAATTATATAGAAAAAAGGTAATTTTTAGAAGTCACAAGACGTAGAGAACTAGGATCATAGAGCGAGAAAGAAAAGTAATATATGACGGTCCACGAATGAGTAAATTGAGAGGACCAGAGATCGGTCGCGAATAGGGAAGAGGAGACAGGGAGAGAAGGAGAGAACGCCCTGATATAACATGAACGGATCTTGCATATTGCAGAAGAACAAGTCCCTCTCTTTATCGCTTTTCTAATGCTGTCGTTCAACATGCCTCAACATGCTTCATTCTTCGATCTCTCATCCTCCCCCCCCCTCGCTTCCAGAATTGTTATTTATCATTCTTGTCTTTTCTCTTTATTTATTGTGTACTTGATTCATGTCTTTGATTCTTCCTTGTTCTATTCTCCCGCAAAATGTGAATCACTTTACATCTACTAACTAGAATATCCAATTCCCATTCCTCTGTTTATCCTCCAAACCCTTTTCATCTTTTTCTCCCATATCCTTCCGTACTCCCCCTTCCCCCCTTCCCCCCCTCTTCTCCCCCACCCCCACCCCCCGCCCTAACCGGAAGAGGGCGCGCGTGCCAAGCCCTTTAGAATGAATAACGGGCGGCTCATGACTACGGATTCTGGCGCATGTCCGATAAAGGCTTGATTTATGCATGGCGGCCGGACAGATGCGCGTGTCCCGAGGCACTGAGCTTCCTGGAGAACCGTAGCGATTGCCCACTAATGCCGCCCTTTTACCACGCCCCTTTGGCTCCGCCCCCTTCCCTCCCCACTACCTGTGCTGTACGGTGCCGCGTGACTGATTTCGTCTGCTGTTTTTTTTTTCTTCTATTTTTTCTCATTATTATTCTCTTTCGGATCAGGATAGAGATATGTTAAGTGAAGGTTTGTTAGTTATGCCATTTCGACGTGTTGGAGAAATCCACTGACAGGTTTTTCTTATGATTTTCTATTTTGGATCAGAATAAATGTTTTAATTTATTGAATGTTTTAATTTACTTCTTATTATCTCTTTAGGATCAAAATATATTTTCGTTTTATATTCATTTTTATGCCTTATCATTATCTCTATTGGATCAAAATATACACGTTTTATCACTTTTTATTTGCTTATTGTTACCTGTTTTGGATAAGGATAGCAATGTTTCTTCTTATTTTTTCCTTATTATTATCTCTTTCGGATCAAATTCGGATATTTTCCTATTTGTTTATCAATATCTATTTTGGATGAGAATAGCTATGTTAAGTGAGGCTTTATTTGGAAAGCTGGCGTAACTTGACGGTTTAAAGAGACATAAGTTATAAGTAAACTGAATTACATGCAAATAATATGGAAAAGTGAACTGATTAATTATAGATAGAAAGGAAAACGAGTAAAGTAAATAAAAAGAAAGAAGGGGTACGTCTATGAAATTATATATGAGAAAAGAAGTAAAAAAAAGAAGAAGAAGGAAGTGTGTATACAATATTGACAAACATCTCTTACGCAACCCTGAAATAGTCCACAACCTAAAACGTAAACAAACACCCTCCCATCGCGTCCATTAACCTAACCTAACACTTACCAAGATCTATGGAAGTGTATAGACTAATACAGACCTTGACACTTACTCCCTGTCCCTTCCAG